TGGTAATCTTTCTTCAACCATTTTTTTGAGCGAATCAGTTTCTGTGGCAATAATTGATTTTTTAACCTTTTCATGATCGTCAATAGCCTTTCGATTTTCTTTTTCATACGAATCTAAAAGCTCTTTTTCAATCTGGAGAATTTGAGCCAAATTGATCAAACTATTAAACTCGATTGATTGACTGATTTGAAAAGAACTGTCGTTATCGTGCAAATATTTCGAAATAAAAGGTTGTCATTCAGAAGATTTAATTGTAAATTCATCGGATTTAGATATTTCTGAAGGTTTATTTATGTGACAGGTAAGGAATGATTGATGGTGACAAGACTCTATTGAAATAGTGGAAGGAAAACTTGAAGGCAGAGTCCAATTGGTGTTTATAGATTCTGGCAAATTAAGCTTTTTTAAAAAATATATTAATCAATGTATATTGCAATCGAATAATATTAACAACTATATTAGTTGCATACCTCAAATCCTTTATTAATATTAAAATCTGTTTTATCTTGTTGGATTTGGTTGACAGTATATTCACTTTCGATATCATCATCGTCTTCTTCTTCTTTTTTATCTTCATTAAGAGATTTCTTTTGAAGATTAAAATCAAAAGTCATAAGTTCCTCTTTGCTCAGTAAACAGAAGTGAGCATCTGTCAGTTTTGTAAAGTATCTACAAAAATATTAAATAAGCATAATAAATTAGCGAAAGTACATAGATAATTATACTAAAAATCATAACGACCTATGAAGGGTTACTGAGTTGTTCTTTTTTTTATAGGAAACTTGAACATTGTAACAATCCTCTTCGGGCCAATGAATAACCAAGCCATGATTATCTTTTATCAATAAATAGATGCCAGTCTTAAGAGATGGTCTATTTTTTGTATTATTTTCATCGTCGATTATTTTAGGTTGTATTAATTGTGAACGGCTTAAGAATATATAAATAATCATTAGTGAAAATAGAACAAACTAAATTGACATCTCGACAACTATTTCCTCGATAGTACACGTACTTAATTGAGGAAATAAATTTCGATTAATAGTATATACTAACATTTTTTCATCAATCAAATTTTTTTGGAACAAATATTTTGCAATACTTTCACGAGTTCCATAGATCCCAGTAAAGTTAAGTAATTTAGAGTTCAAAGATGCATAATCAATTTCAGAAATTGATTTAAAGCTGTTTGGCACCATATAGTTACAGAATTTCTTTAAAGAATTTTGAGCAATAATAATCTTGTCAACCGCTAAAATAAAGGATTACAATCAATTTTATGCAAACTAAATTTTTCATAAAACAAATTAAATATATCTTACCAAATCCATTAGACCCCATATCTTTACACAAATCGAGCAAATGATATAAGTTAGGAATGTTTATACAAAGGTCCATTGGATCATCTTCTATTGTTAAAGGATCTATATTTGAAGGGTTTTCTACGTTTGAAGGACCTCTTACGTTTGAGGTATCTTCAACGTTTGAAGGGTCTTTGACTTTTGAAGGATCTTCAACGTTTGAAGGATCATTGACATTTGAAGGATCTTCAACGTTTGAAGGATTTACATTCGAAGGGCTTTCTAAATTTGAAGAGCCTTCTACATTTGAACGATCTTCTACATTTGAAGAGTTTTCTGCTGAAATCTCTGGAAGAGTATCTGAAGCATTAGCTGCAAATATTTCGAAATAAAAGGTTGTAATTCAGAAGATTTAATTGTAAAT